GTGCCACATCAGTTTCATTATAGACGAAGGGCTACCATAGTAAAGGTAGTCAAAGGTGGTGAGAAATACGTCATTTCATTGGCCGCCTAGGGTGATAGAGTGATAACCCGTGTGAAAATGTGTGGAACTGCTTGGGCTTTAAATTTAAGGAGAGCAGCGCGACGGATTCCTGACAAGGATTTTAAGCGGTAGATGATATACGAAACTACTATACCATTGAGCGCTGTCTGTGTGTAGCGAATAGCGTCTTCTCTGTTTGTTCGCAGTAGTTGGCTTCTCCCATAAACTGTCAACACAAATTGTGAAATATGTTTCCGATGAAAAGGATTACATAAGTGGGGTTTCAGTATAGATTATCCTGCAGCAAAGTCCCTCTATTTTTACGTGATTTTGAGTGTGTTTCTTTCAGGTCATCCTGAAAACTAAACTCCCACAAATAACAACTTAATTATTATGGATTTTTCACATTTACTCTTCATGGCTTTATAGTTTCGCCTATATCTTACAGTGAAAATGCACATAAATAACCTTCATTTTACCCTTCTGTTGGCTAATTACGTCTTAGAAGAAAATTTTCTTGAGGAATAAGCACTTTTCTGTCTAGAAATGTTGGTGGTTTTGAGATATAATAAGACCGTGCAAGGACTATTCAAATATACTCGAATATGCTCGTTTATAACTGCTGCCTTTGAAACAACCAACACGGTCAATTTCCATTGCAGTAGGCAATGCGCCCTAAATGTCGCCTCCTTGCTAACATAAATAAAGGCCTGATTTTGCATATAAAAAAGTTTATAGAACGTTCTTGCAAAATCCTAAGTAAAAACGAATCTCCATGTCTAATTAACTCTTATTGCTCATAATACCCAAACACCCCTTTTGTTAAAGTAATTTTCTACGAAGTTATTGTAAGGAAGGACACCTTAGTGCCTGCTGTCCAGAAAACAAATTTGGATTTATAACGTAGTCGAAAATTGACGTGAAAGGCCGTAACTGTGAAATATCTTTTGCATCAAGTTATGTTTTGAGGCAGTCCGGTAGATTTTCATTCAAAAGTCGAAGTCTTGGCATGACTGAATTACTTTGAAATTATTTTGTAAGACAATTATTATCACAATCACTCATCAGAACTATTTTATAACGTAAGACGTATTTCATATTTCGGTTAAAATCTTATGAGACAGGTAGGTATCCGTTACCAATATGAAGAAAACTTTGAGCAAATACCGCAAAAAACATTACGCATTTAAGATTTTAGAATAATCAAATTAACTGACTAAGGTAGTTGGAGTCAAAACAACATTATTATAAATTCCAGCCTCTTCTACCTCGCTAGCCACCTATAAGTTTTTGCACAAAAAAAGACCTTATCACATTAAATAATCAACGCATTACCCGGCAGTCAGGCCGTAGAAAGTGAGAACAAAATGTAACGCGGGGCTAAGTTGGCCAGAAATCGATTTGACCAGGTTGGGCAGAATTTGAATTTCTGCGCAACAGTCATAATGCACATGGCGTGTGGAATGTGGCTACTCCTGTCGGTTTTTTCGTTTTTGGAACCCTGCAAGGGCCAAAATAGAGACCGTTTCAATCCAGCAGGACCTGAATATATCGGAATATTTGGTGGACTCAAGTATTACATTTATGCCTCCGTAGAGGCCACACATGGAGATGCGAATACCCTATGCAGCATATACGATAACCAAGGTCGTCTTGCCTGGTTTGGCGACTTAGAAGTGCCAGAACTGAGGGCGATTGCTGAGAAAGCCTCCATGATAAACTATTTAAACCTAAATCATTTCTTCTGGATTGATGGACGCCTCCTCAACAAGAGCTGCAATACCGGACATGATCCATGCATATGGGGTCCAGAAACACATGATTCAGAGGTGCTCAGCCATATTGCACCTGGCGTGTCCAACACATTCAAAACAACTAATATGGCTTGTGAGAAGTTAGAAAGCGAGCAAAACAGGAAGGAAATGGAAATGGAAATGGAAGGAAAAATCGAACGGCGACCGGTTCTCATGCCCAATCTGCTGGAGGAATTTCCAGATGAAGACAAAGATTATGTCCTAGCGGCTGCTTGGAACTTTGAAAAGTCAGGTTTCATTTGCAGTGCGCCAGAAAGCGACGTCGTCGAATGTCCTTTCGGCTTCACAGAGATCGAAACTTGCGATGTGCCGAAGCACCTAATTCCAAAACCCGGATTCGACTGCAAGTGACTGTCCTTATATTAATTCAAGACATTAACACTCTGACCAATACTATTAAGAATACATACATTTATAACAATAAAACAGTAGTTTCTATTGAGCAGTAGTATATTGAAAAGAAATCTGAAATTTTCCTTCGAATGCGAAGCCAGGTTATGCATCATATGCGGGCCAAAATTCCTTAATCTAGCGCATGCTAAAAATGCGTTTCAAGCAAAAAATGCAAGCTCTTCCAGTGCGATACATGTGGGCTAAGTCTTCGTCAAAAATGATCAACTGTCCTCTTCTAGTAGTAGACATTTATCGGTTCTTGATCTGGTCAGAATAATGGCATCCTCTTAAATCAACAATGTACATTGTCACTTGAGTAGTGCTGCTTCAGTTACCTTGAGCAGCTACAGAATCATCTTTGTGGTGTCCGATAGATGCACTTTTGCAATAAAGCCCGGATATAGTTGGCTTACTGAAAATATGTTCAGGGAACAAGTGTTTATTTATGACGATCATAAAAAGGAAATGGTGGAATCATAGTTTACGTCCCAAAATATTGTTTAAATCATCTAATGTTTTCGCAACAAAATAGCGTACCTTAAATAAACGCAGAAATTTACTTACAGTTCTTACTGACTTATAGTTTATTGGGTGCGACAAATTTAGACATTTTAATTACTTATACTTTGAAGTTTATTGGGTTTTCTGATATTCCTGAAATGAAATGGCTATTGGAGGTCGTTTTCTTCAAATTACCCGGGGTTCGACTTATTATTCTAGAGTTTGATTAGTATAGTCCGTGGCGCGAGACGCAGCGCACACCTTCAAGTTACATGAGCAGCAACTTAATGTTAGTTTTTTTTGTTTGATCTATTTAACCTACTTATATTTAAGTTCAGTTTTCATTTTAGTTTACAACCATCATTATGATGCTTACTATTTTTATTCTAGTTTTCGATTATTTAGTAGTTAAGTGAGTTAAGCTTGCTTTAGTTTACGTTTTTTAGAAATTGCTTTTAGTTTTAGCTAGTAATCTTTTAATTTCGGTATTTCCCGATATTTGCGTAATTGCAAATTTTATTTATGGCGCGCTTTTTTGTTGACAAACACTAGATTATTTAAATAATTTTTCCTAATCCTTCTCTCTTTATGAACTTATTTTTTTCATTATTCACTTTCCTTTGTATAGTCCCCAATGCCTACTTTTTATTATACCCGGTCCTGTATTACACAAGGATTAAGATTTCGCGTACTGACCTAGGACCCAAACTAGGATTGTACCAAGGAATTATTAAAACTCGTTACAAAAACGGGCTACTAGTTAGTACTTCAACTAAGCGGTCAAAATACATGTACATGCTATTTGTGAATATACGATTCCCAGGTGGTAAATCAGAAGGAGGAAGAGTGTTCACCGAGAAAGATTTATTGTATGTTTGACGTTTCGGGTAGTTGTTTCGCCTACTCCTACTCAGAGACTGAACATTCTGGCTTATGGCTCTCGTTATAAGCTGCCATTTTTTTCGTATACCCAGTTTACCAATAACATCTGAGCCGCGATGTGTGGTTCGCATCT